TTTTTGAGGGCGCAAGCGTAACAGAATTTTTTTCGAGAGTTAAATAATCATTACAAAATAAAATTACATTCTAAATTTTAAATTTTTATTCCATCTTAAAAAAAATTATTCAAATTTTAAATTTTCCGTCTTACTTGAAAACTTTCCTTCCAAGAATGGGGTATCCCTTCGTATTTGAACTGCATGCTAGAAATGGAATGAAAGTTTGGATGAGTTCATGAAATATTTTAATTGGACTGTCATTCTAAGTAAGGATTTTTAGTCATAAATAGGTTAATCCAATCAAAATTAAAAGATATTTGTTGTAGTAGAATGAAAGTTTAATTAAAAATTTTCATAAACTCGTCCAGACTTTCATTCCATTTTCAACAAATAGATGTAGTTGGAAGGGAAAACTCAATTTAGACCGAAACTTATCAAATAAAACTAAAAAATTTAAAATTAGACGAACATTGGAATTATAATTTATAAATATGAAGATTTTTTTTTTTATGAAATGTTTTTTCAATTTTCATTTCTCATGGGAATTTTCCCGTTGATGATTATATGGCGAGTTTGCTTGAAAGATGAACCAACACTTTGTCTCTCAACCTTGTTTTTTTTTTTCAGACACACCAAATCAATATGCCTCATTTTATTTATAAAAACGAAAAAATTCCCACGAGAAATGGAAGTTGAAAAAATATTCCATAAAAAAAAATCCTTCATATTTATAAATTATAATTCCAATAATCTTCCAATTCTAAAATTTTCAGTTTTATTTGATAAGTTTTCGTTTAAATATGAGTTTTCCCTTCCAATTACATCTATTTCTTCAAGATGGAATGAAAGTCAGGACGAGTTTATGAAATGTTTTAATTAAATTTTTATTTTACTACAACAAATATCTTCTAATTTAGATTGGATTAACTTATTTATGATTAAAAATCCTTACTTAGAATGACAGTCCAATTAAATTATTTCATGAACTCATCCAGACTTTCATTCCATCTATGGCATGCAGATCAAATAAGAAGGGATACCCTATTCTTGGAATGAAAGTTTGCAAGTAAGATGAAAAATTTTAAAATTGGAATGACATTTTTTTAGATTGAATGAAATTTAAAATTTAGATTGTAATTTTACTATAGAATGATTATTTAATTATAGGAATTTTTTTCGTTGATAGTTGCTTAAGAACAATAATACGTTATTCGCCATTCAAGTTATATGTTCAAGTTCGAGGAGTCAATTGACTTCTTCTGCACCGGGATGCATGTCTGACATTAGTAAGGACGGAAAAGGTATCAGGAACAATAATCTTTAAGAAGTAATTATTTTTAGAAAAGTTTGAACTTAAAAGTGTTTTTTGATTTATCTGTTCATACTATATTTGAATGTGCTGTAAAAGCGGAGTTCTACCTGCCGTGATAACTTAGAGAGTCAACGACTTTAATTCTTCTTTGTT